GATCGGCCCAAATTTCGCCCCCCCCCCTTTCGGACATCTCTGGATCCGCCCCTGATTGTTAACATAATTATGTTCGTTTGTCGGGTGTACGTGGACTGGACAATTTGTTCCCAGTGGTGGTAGCAAGTTAGGGCCGTGAGGCAACCCCCTCGTTCTGAACAGCTGCCCAACACACCTCACCCCTTGTTGAAGAGCTTAACACAATTATTTTGGAGAAAAAATTATTCCTATGTAACTTTTACAGATGATGATATTCTTAATACGCCTCTTAAAACTCTACAATTTCGGTGGTTCTAGGCTTAGCCCCCTGAAGCACGTTGAGGGAATTTTAGGCGACCCACTTACGCTCTCACTTAGACTCCCCCACCCAAGTATGGACAGGCTTATAATAATATGCCAGTGTCAGAGGGATTTCGCCACCTCGCTGAAATCGGCCCCCATGTGCTTAAGTCCATGTTGTCATTGGCCCAGAGGAAAAATTATGAATCTAAAATCACTATTTTATTAGCCTCGGGGACGAATCTACTTACAGCATGTTTCCCATCACACCCCCACCCCAGCCATCCAGTTTAAGGAATTCGGCTGGAATACCAATACTCTACGAACGTACAAAGAAAGAATTAAATGGGGTGGGGATCCCTGGAACAACTTCGGTTTGTATAATCATAGTCATAATTCTAACCTCAGGAAGAGTCCGGGAAAAACACTTTTATTAAACACCTGTGGCCTTATTCTATAGTAAAGCGTGTGAAAATAGCCCCGGCGAAGTTTTGATTTGCTTTGATAGGTTACTCTGTACAAAACGTTATGTTATCAATCAAACACCGTGAAAGCATGCAATATAAGCATGTTGATGGATTCAAGAAGATTCCTTTATATAGACAGGTCATAGGTCCAGAATTTAAGTCCTGGTAGATAACACGCCATTGTCTGTGATGTTTAAGTTCTTTAAATATTACAACACGATCGACTTAAGTTTTGTTGCCATTGATTTTCTTAATTTAAATATTTGTTTGACTATATTTACTGATTCAATAAGAAATCAGACTCAACTAATCAATGAGCGTCTTCAAATGACATGGACCAATGAGAATGCGTGAAATTATTCGAGTAGATGAAAAAGGTAGCCTCTTATTATGAGGTGATCAAACATAAACAGAGTATAAATCACAACGAATTTCACTCATTTTTCATCCTTGATCACTCTCGACCAACTCCTCGATCAGCTCACTACTTCTCTCTACAAAACCGGTAAGTCTTAAGTTTTCTTTTTTCGTTTCATTACTGTAATTACTACAGCCGTATGCTTATAATAATTACTATATTTTAAATTTTTATTTTTGCATCTGTCGGGCATACACTAAACACCATGTGTTAGCTAACAGTTTTAGGTTACAATAATGTAATAATACCGTTTATTTATATTGTAGAACGTTAAATATAACGTAATTTCCAACTAAGAAAAAACGTTGCAAACGTTGCAACAATTTTGTGTTAGGCCTATACTATAGTTAATATCTGATTGAAACAACCTCAACATTCACAAGGTTCGCGAATGTTATGATAGGGCTAGGCACGTTTAAACTAAACGCTAAATTACAATAAAGATAGGGCATTTTTTTTTGAGGGAAAAATATTATCCAGCTTGTACCAATGCAAACTCGACCAAACCCAAAAATATTTGACACTGCCTAAATTTATCTTTAATATATAATTATGCTACTCTTTGGTGTAGGCCAATTAGGTTTTAACTCTGTTTTCGAGACGCATCTGAGTTTTGATTTGGTTTTTTTGTAAACCAGGGACGCCTATCCAAATAAATAACGCGCGTTTCAGGTCTTACTTAAAGTTAAAATAATAGTAACATAGGGTGCAATGTTATGATAAAAGGTCACCGTGTCAAAATAGGCCTACTATAATGTGCCCTGACAATGTATTGCGTTTACACATTAAAACCTTAATTTGGTTAAAGTAACTTGTTTGTCGTTTTCTGAACTCCACTCAACCCCATATTTGCCCTTAACTAAACTTGGCAAACAATCACTGGTGGGAGGTGATTGGCTAAATAAATCACGTGACAGTAGATAGATGATCTGGTAATCTGGTAAAGTCAGCAAAATATAATTATTTCGTTTAAAGTGTATACAGCTTTTCTAATTCAGTGCCATTATTTTTTACTTTGAAGCAGTACGAAAATAATATAAGGTATAATTTACAACCAATATTTTTGTAAGGAGGCACACGATAGTATTCCAAAAAGTTTAGTGTTTAATTAATGGACCTTTCCGCTAAGCCCCGCCCCTTGGATATTGTTGCTAAGGTCCCACAAGGCAACAGTGTTAAAACATAGGCGAACACGTGCGTGTGAGGGACATCACGTGTGTTTGTGAGACGCGCGCGTATTTCTAGCGCTGTTCTGATTAGTCAGTTAAGTTTGATTGACACTCCGGAAAGGTCTATTAATGATTGATGGAAAATTTGTGTTCCCTTTATTGTCAGGTCATTGTCGACTTTCTTTTTAATTCAAGCCAATATTATTGACGTATTTGCAGTACAGTATTGAGCTAAAAGTTCAGGCTCCGGAGAAATAAAAAAAAATGATAATGTTATTATGCTAATATTCTTAAAACGTCTACATGCCACTAACATCCATATCATGTCTTATATTTTGACAGACTAAATTTCAAAATGCCTGCTGACTTTAGTGGAACATGGAAATTTGTGAAGGGAGAGAATCTGACTACTCTGTTGGACAAATTGAACGTTCCAGCTGACAAGCGTCCATCCCAAGAGGGCTCCACTGTAACCATTTCTCAAAGTGGTGACAGCTTCTCCATAAAGACAACCACTGCAGCTGGAGACAGGAATGTCAGCTTCTCCATTGGAACCAGCTTCGTGGATCCAGACATCAAAGCTTTAAGAGGGAAGGAGTTGAGTGTGACCCCAGCATGGGATGGTGCTAAGCTGGTGCTCAAGGGAGAGAAGGGCAACGGTGTTACCCGTGAGCTTGTCGGGGGACAGATGGTCGTTACTTTTGAATTCGACGGCGTATCAGCCAAGCGCTACTTCGCCAAAGCCTAAATGGTGGCTAACAGTAAAACATCAAGCCTCAATTGACACGTCTAATCAGACACGAAAAAGGACTGACTCTTTGCAATATTAAATACAACTTGGACATTTTGCAAAAACAACATCGAAAATTGAGGCTGACGTAATCATGCCACCCTTGTAAGGAAACAGGGCAATGTGTGTTCACATACAAGATATGTTCAAAAGTTTAAAAGTTTAAATAAAATTTTTGGAAATAAGTACATGTTTTTGATGTTTTCTTTTTGGCTGACGTGACTTTTGATTGGTGAAAAGTTTGTAAGAGTATGTAGGTCATATGTAGGTATATCTGTTGTAAACACGAGAAGACAACACCGACGGAACAACTATCATAGAGTCTTTGACCAACACAAATTACAGATATACGCTATATTTAAATATATTTAATAATGTTAATAATACTAACAATATCAACAAATAACAGCACAAATTAGAAAAGAATAACAATGACAAGGATAATATCGATGACAAGGACAACGACAATGACTTAGAATATGAGTGAGACTATGAATGAACTAGAGCATAATAAACGTGCTTATATTCACCCACATACACACACACAG